GGTAACTCCAGGTTAACTTACCCTCTATCTTAGATAATTTATCTTAAAACAATGGTTTCAAGTTAACATATCCTTTGTTAAATTATTTGTCATAGGTTATCATATTATCCAGGCATTAAGTTTAATTCAGCTGTAATAATAGTTAACAAACTTATGTTTTCCACTGTAGGTCGTGGAGGTGACTCATCTGAGAGGGTCCTGTTTCTCCTGTCCGTGATTAACTTGTTTTGTTATTTTATTAATTGGAAGTAGAAAAATCAGCCAGAGAAATGTTCGGGAAACTCTCTATTTACACGACAGCCGGTCATTGAAAAGAATTCACGTTTTTAAGACAAATATGTTCAACTATACTTTATCATATTTTCTGTGAATTGTAATGACCATTCGAAAACTGAGAGGAAAAACGTTTATTATTTGTGATTGTGGATGTTCACTAGGAGTTGCATAAGATGAGTGAAAATATGGCTACATTCTCATCCATAAAAGAGGAACTTGAGTATTTCAGGAACTTGGCTTCGGAGTATAAAAAAAAGTAAGTCAGTGTTCCACTTACTTAACTAGTATCATTCTCTATCTCTCCCTCTTTATTTGTCATATGGTTGAAATCAGCTAATTTTTAGCTGTTTGAAAGTGTGGACATTTATATTCGATGTCTGTTTGGAATTCCATGTAAAATGTAGTTACAATGTCCAGTTTTCTGTAAATATATATATATCATTTATATAAAAGATATATATATATATATACAAGGTGTGGAAAAATAAAATCATCAATAGAGTTTTTACATGGAAATCATAATTTATTTCATTTCTTGTTTCAAATGAGATTCAGTGTAATTCTGTGTTGAAGTTAGTAAAGTTTGTTATACCATTCAGAGCTACATGATACTTCACACACACAAGAACAAGAAAAAATGTAGGATTTCTTCCACAGAAATATTTCTTTCTGCTTAAGTAGTCTGAAAGCTTAGTGGAAAGCCAACGTTCCTACTAAGCTGTTGTAGTTAAGCGTATGTTAGAGTTCAGTGATAATGAAAGATTTCTACTTTACATATTATAGATGGCAAGACAGTGTGCAAGAATTAGAAGAATTCCAGGAGAGTAGTAGAGAGTTGGAGGCTGAACTAGAAGCCCAGCTCGAGCAGCTGGAAATGCAGAGTAAGGAGTTACGAGCCATGAATACACACCTACAGATGGAATATGAGAATCTGAAAGTAAACCATTGTTTTAAGATAAATTATCTAAGACAGAGGGTAAGTTAACCTGAAACCATTGTTTTAAGATAAATTATCTAAGACAGATGGATAAGTTAGCCTGAAACCATTGTTTTAAGACAAATTATCTAAGACAGAGGGTAAGTTAGCCTGAAACCATTGTTTTAAGACAAATTATCTAAGACAGATAGATAAGTTAGCCTGAAACCATTGTTTTAAGACAAATTATCTAAGACAGATAGATAAGTTAGCCTGAAACCATTGTTTTAAGATAA